CTGTGTTCATTGATTGGTGTCACCATTGTTCCATTTATGAAAAAGAAAGTTTACCAGACCATTTTGATGTTCTTGATATGTTTAGCTGTGGGTACATTATCCGGTAGTGCATTGCTGCATCTATTGCCTGAGGTAAGGTTTATATTCAAGTTATTGAGATATTGTTTAAGCAGTTAAACATGAAAGTGCGCATTAACTACAAAATGTATACTAAAACATGTTATATTTGACCATTGAAATGCTACTGTCAGACGTGTTGACACATATATGCGCTATGAATAGAACAAATACAATACAGTCATTTATACCAAAGACTATAGAAAAGATATGTCTTTGTTTATACCGAGTTGAGTTTTTTGTTCATATCGTACATGTTGGTGATTGGACTAAAATCGCACACAACTAGTGTATGTTCGAATCTCGTGGAAACAAAACATGTTTCTTTTCATACATCACGTGCGCGCACATGTAGTATGACGACAGTTTACTTTTCAAACCAAAAAATGTATAAAAAGTATTTAACAAAACCAAATTTGCCGTAGTCATTGGCTTTTTGTGATGATCGATGAAGTAAGTAAGAACTGAAGTAGGTGTCACTTTACATTCACATCATTTCAGTAAACTGAATATAAGTAGTAGTTATGACATGCACATTAAAGACTATCCGGAAACAAATAGAACAGATAGAATTGAAAAACAAATATATAGTTGTGATGGCAGTGTGTCTTTTAATGATGGTCAAATGATCTAATATTACCCACTATTTAATTTCTTTTCTAACGTTACTGTTTGTTTTGTATCAAGGCTCATAGAGTACCCGCAGGTGAACTTGATTTTGTTTGGATAAACACAACAGCACTTGGTGGAATCTATCTATTTTTCTTGACAGAAAAGATCATGAAAATATATATTAACAGGAAAAAGGTAAGATTTTGTGGGCAACATACCCACTCCCTTTGAACAATTTCTCTAGTTTTCGATGAATTGAAGAAAACAAAAGACCTTGCCTGTAATGTGACTTCAAATAAAGACTTTCTAATCTACCATAATCTAAGGGTAATTGTACCCTGACTGCATTATACTTATTTTGTTCTCACTAAAAATAATAAAATGTAAATTAATCTTCTCTTCTTCAAGAAGTCTTTCATCCCTGATTCATGCCTCTTTATCTTTCCGATATGCAGCGATTGGCCAAAGAAGCTGAAACAACTGGTGTTGAACTTATATCTGTTGATATATGTTCTTTGATGGCAAAGCCGGGACATTCTGAGCATCGAATACTGGACCCAGTGAAAGAAGCAGCAAATCCTATTGATAAAGATAAGTGTATTGATACCAGTGATGATACTAGCAAGGATACTACAGATTCTGAAAATTCTGAAATTCTGGAGAATGAAGTCGCTGTTGCTACCAGTGCTACCAGCAAGGACAATGACCTTCAGGTTTGAATTTAATCTGTATGTGGTCGCTTTATAAAACTTGTATATTGCTCAGCGTATTCTGTATATTAGCCAAATTTGATGCATATTAATTACATAATTAGCATTTTCTATAAATTGACCCAACTTGATGTAAATGTTGTTTATATTGGCTCTACTTGGTGCATAATTGATTATCTGATTAGCATATACATTGTATAGTGTTCATATTTCTATATTTATATAACAAATATGTAGTATTTATTTATTTCCAGTTATCTTGAAAAGCGTTATTTTTAAAATACCCAAAATGCATTGCTTTTAAGTAACCCAAAATACTGTAACTGAAAGAGTTAAAACTAGACAAGACCTTACTTCCTCAGATTCTCGTCATTCAGGAGTGTGCCACTATAAGGACTTTTCGCTTTTGTTGTATATAGACTCCCGAGAAAGAGAAAAACGGGCTATCAGAAAGTGTACAGAATGCACCATTGGGAGATAAACATAGTGACCATAGTGATGTGGCTTTGGAGGAGACCCCTACCATAGCAACTGTTGCATGGATGGTAGTAATTGGAGACGGGTTACATAATTTTATTGATGGACTCACTATTGGTGCTGCGTTTTCCGTATCAATTCTGAATGGTATCAGTATATGCATTGCAGTTATATGTGAAGAGTTGCCACACGAGTTAGGTAAGTTGAAAATGTGCTCTGGACGAACGCATAGTATGACAACTATATCATATGTAATTTAAAATGTCATTTCTTTTGAACCACTGTGACATTTGAAGGTCTAACACAGAAATAACTAATTTCCACATTGATAAAAACATACTCAATGATCTCAAGCAGGAATTTTAATTTCAACATTGTAACATTTTAATGTTTTTCATTAAAACATCTTGTACAATGTAAACAACATAATAAATGCAATTATACCAGGATATTTTATGTACAATTGCTCAGTCAACACAATGGCAGTTACTGGGTTTATATATAAATCTCTTATTGCAATGCCTGAATGTATAAAGTGGGCGGTTATGATGGACAATCAAGTTTGATATCTGCACAGAACATTTAGGCAAAAGTCAGTTTATTCATATTTAGATGTCATCTTTTCTACAAATATGAGCAAAGGTCAGTTTATTCATATTTAGATGTTATCTGTATATACGTGTACATGTTGGTGTCCTCTTTGCCTTAAGCGATTCCAAAGCCTCAAATTTATCATTTTAAAATCTTTCACTAATTTAAATATTCCGTATCCGCAACCATTATCATGTATTGAGCATGTCATGAATACATTAATGTAAAAAAAATGTATGAATATCGATTTCTTAATAACAAAAGCTAAGTGAAATAAGGCGTATCCAGGCCGTATTCGGCGCCTTGATCTCCTACTGCTAATACTAATGCTAATCAGAGATGTCCCAGAGATATCACATGAATTGTCATTGCAGAATTGTGAAATCAACAATATTTTTTTATACTTGTTTACATACAGGTGACTTTGCAATTCTGCTGAATGCTGGTATGAGTGTAAAAAAAGCGTTGACGTACAATTTCCTGTCTGCCTGTATGTGTTATCTTGGTTTGGTATGTGGTATATTACTAACTCAACATACAGATGCCGCCGACTACATCTTTGCTTTAGCGGCTGGAATGTTCCTCTACATTTCACTGGTGGATATGGTAAGTATTATTAGGCATTTATTAAATGTAGTATGAGACAGGATGAAGTAATTCAGTTGAGGTATTATGAGGTTTGAATAACATGGAGGGCGAGTACAAAGTTCGGAACGCATATTCAGAAAGAGATAAGGCGGATGAGAGACGGATTGC